GAGAATTCTAGGTGACTGAGGGCTTTTTGGATTTTCTGTGTTCTGAAATCCAAATATGTTTACAGTTGTTTGGAAGAAGACTGTGAAATCCTGAGAAACATGGAAGGAAGAAAGTGGCAGGAGAGAACCTGATAGGTCCAGGGAGATGCTGATGTCCACAATTGTGTATGATTCATTTCTGAGTCTTCCAATACCTCTCACAGTGTCTTGAATTTAGTAGGCATTAATACATTCTTTAAATGAAATGGATTATACATCCCTAAGTGCCTTGAAGGGTTAACCTGGGTACCCAGAACTGCAGAGAGATGAATTGCCACCGGGTGGAGACAGAGGCCAGAAGGTGAGAGAAGAAACCTGCGTTCAGAGGCTGGGAAGGGGTAAGGTTGGCAGGAGCACTAAACTGAGACTAAAACAGGAGGAAGGGAGAAAAATCAACACGAAGACCAAAATCATTCTCAGGTCCTAGGAGGACGTGGGCTTCCTCCCTGAGTGTGACGAAATCTGAGGAGGTGGCTGGACTCTGAATTTGATTCTGAGCCAGTGAAGGACTTTGTCTCCTGGAACTCTGGAGGAGTCACAGTGACTCACTCTTCCTCAAGAAAAGATGGAAAATGACAACCCTTCCCAGCTCTCCCCTGCTTTCAAAGCCCAGCAGTGTCCCAAAGGAACGAAAGCATCATTCCTCCAACATGTGGCTCAGGAACTGTGGCAAAGCCCCCAGCTCCAGTCAGCCGTCAGTTGACATGGAAAACTGATTCATGGGCCAGAAATCTTACCCTGACAGTCCTCTCAGCCTTCAAAGGATTGAATGACATGGGCGGGATACTCTGGGGAACTTAGGGAGAGAAGGCCAGTTTTCTCTACCAATTGTTTGCTTGTTTGTTCCTCTTTCCCCCATGGGTCCTGAACCCTCCGATGGGGGGGAGCCAAGCTTTGTCCATATGCAATGAATGACCAAATCCATGTGTTTCATCCATGTTTCCTGAGCTCTGACCATGTGCCAGTCACAGATGAAAAAAGACTCTTTCACGGCTGGAGTTTATTTTCTAGAGGCGGAAGGAGGAGGTAGACAGGCAATACACGGGTGAGCCAACACATGAATAGACAAGATGATGTTGACACGTGATGAATGCTGCAATGGGAACAGCCCAGGCGAATTGGTAGAGGATAGCTGAGGCTACATCCCATTGGAGGTCAGGGAAGGGCAGCGTGGAGGAGGTGCTGTTTGCTCGGATACCCCAAGGATGAGAAGGTGCCAGTCTCATAAAGAGCATTTCAGGAAGGAGAGATGTCAAGTGCAAAGATCCTTTGAGTAGAAAGGAGATCGACCCCTCAAAGAACAAAAATCACCACTGGGCATTAAGCTCAGTGAGCAAGCGGCAGACCACGCCACAGACTGGTGGTGGAAGTCCTGTCAGATTGTGCAAAGGCACTTGGGAGTAACTCTAAGTACAGTAGGAAGAAATTAAATGCCAGATTTGGAGTATAATATTAGATTTTCCTAAAGAGTGAGTTTATTACTTTCATCGGATTTTCTAAGAGGTCTGTAATTCCCCTCCCATCCCCCAGATATTAGTAGTATCTGGTTTCAAGGGAGACCAGGTCCATTCTCTTAGAAAGACTAGAAAGAAAAAAGATGCAGGTTGGAGCTACATACAGTGTATTCTAGTCTTCCAGGAAACAGAGAACTACGGGGGCGGGGGGGGGGGGACAAACAATTATGCTTGAGGGGGCAAGGGAAAAACTAGAGATATTAACTGGAAATTCTTCGGAAATAGGCAACCTTAAGGGCCCACAAATGTGGTCAGAGCCTACAAAAGAAGTGGCTGTGATGAAGAAATGGAGACTCTCATGCTAGAAGCCAACTTTGCAACCAACACCATGAATTGGAGATACTTGAGAATCATAAGTACTAAATCTTTTAGACTCAACGTATCTAAAGGATTTCATAAATCCAAATGTGACATAAGATGCCTGATCTATCCCCCTAAAGTGATGCTCCCAAATTCCCCTAAACCAGTTTTCCAGAGGCTATCGCTCAGAGGGTCCCTGTTTCTTTCATCAAATAGTTATAGGAAAGATGAAAACTGACACGCATTTTTGCTGAGCTGATGTCTAAACATCCCTGCCCCCCGGTGTGCCCCACACTCTTCCTGCCCGAATCACCTAGAAGATGTCTAGAGATGATTTGGAAGGACTTGGACTTGTTAATTAACCTAAACAGTCACATTCGTCTGCAAGGTGCATTATTGTTAATTAAAACTGCGATTCTCCTTGTGCCCAGACGGCGGGTTGCTGTTGTCAGAATAATTAGATAGCATAGGATGGTTTTCATGCAAATCCCTGGCAATTAGAGTTGGCGATGAATTGGGTTTGAAATCCCAGTGAAGTTCCCAATGAGAATTCCTCTGAGGGTGGCTCTGGGGAGGAAGATGGTGATGGGGTTAGGGGAATAGGCAAATGGAGGCGGACAAAGGGAGTGAGCGTCAGGCATTTGTTTTCTAAGTTCTGCAGGAGGGGCTCCAGCCTGGAATAAATGAACTATGAGTGTCAATGTGATGTTCAAACTTCCTTCAAATAATCGGTCTCTTTCTCCTTTAAAAAGCAATGCGAATGGACCCTCCCCGGGGGTCTCCTGTGCTCCCAAGAGCCTACCTCCCTGGCTCTCATCTTTCTGAGAGGATTTTTTCTTTAGCCAGGAGGCCCAATAATTCATACACAGCTAAAGTCCTTGCCAGCCCTAAGATTAAATTCTTAAGGGCTCTAAGGAAACAGGATTTGTATTCCTGAAGGGTTGCAGAAATGACGCCAGATTCAGACCAATTTGAGAGTGGCTGGTGGCGTGCAGTGGGTTAAATGCATGGGGTGGCAGGTTCCCAGACAGGCTTTAAAGAAAGGACTGAGGTTGGGGTTAGACTGAAGGAGGAACTCTCAAGTGTCGCATGGATGATGGCAGGGGAAGGGCAGCCCCTGAAGGGACTGGGGCAAAGCTGCAGGGGTGGAAGTGAGGAGGATTTAGCCATGGGACCACTGTTTCTAGCCCACTCTGACCTCTCGCCGCTGTGGGCTTCTGTCTCTGCCTCTCCTTTGTGATGGCTGTGATAGCTGCCGAGCTATTGCCCAGGTATCTGGAGGTCTCCCTAACTGGCCTGAGTGAGGAGAGATTTCTATCTGGAGGCACAAGGTGGGGGATGGGTAGCACAAACCTGGTGGCCATAAATTAAGCCTTCCTTGTATCAGGTTGACACTGGAAGATTCAGGGAGCCAAAAACACCCGCTCCTCTTTCTCAAGTAGGTCAGCCTCCAAATCAGTACCTTGTAAGGGATGAGGGTAACATCTGGTAGGATTGAGAGAGTGGTCAAGAGTCGGAGGGGGAATTTTGAGAGGAGCCTGGAAAGAAAACGGGAGAAATAGGAAATACGAGGGCACATTCATGAGCTGGGTTGGAGACCTGAGCATAATTTAGGTCTGTAAATTATTTCCTTTTTCTTCATTTTCTCTCTTCTTCTCATTTCAGAATGTCTCCCGCGTCTCAGTCGGTCCCTAAATCCCGCCTTTCAATTTACGATGCACCAATCAGGAGCCAGCCTGGTGGTTGCTAAGAGACAGGAGGTGGGAGATTTAGAGGCTTTGTCATGGCACCCACCCAGGAAAATTCCCTGAGCCTTTTGCACCCTCCTGCCTAAGATATTCTAACTCACCTCCTTGTCACATCTTTGAAAAATGGAAAACTGTAATTACATTTGAACAGACAAGGTAGCTACACAAGTTTCGCCAACCTTTAGTTGGAATGGAGGAAGAAACTCACTGTTTTGTGGCCCTTTGGGTAGAGGGTGAATTTGTTGTGGGTGGGAGAACTTGTGCTCCTTATGAAGAAGGGCTTACTCATTGGCCTTCCAATCACCGCTGAAATTTTGGCCGGGTAGAGGCTGAGGAAAAGCCTCCAGGATCACAGTAAGCAGCCAGAAAATCAGAGGCACATTTGGGGAAGAGGTGCCCAGAACATAAGGGTATAGTGGAAGATGGAAGGAAGATGCATGTGCGAAAGAAAGGCTTATGTCAAAAACTGGGGCTTGAAAAGGAAATTTGGGGAATTCCAAGCTGATGAATCAGATCAGGGCCACCCCCTTCAAGTTTCTCCACATTTCACAACTTCTTGATCTTTTCTTCCCTCTACACATCCTACACAAAAAAGACTAGGCATCAAAACCAGGGTAAAGAAAAGTCATTTGGGTAAGGAATGAGTCATAAATCCTGAATCTATATCCTGAAAACAGCGATGAGTGCCGTGCTGATTTGAGGGTGGGCCCCTGAGGGAGGTCGGTGCACACACAGGTGTGTGTGGTTCAGGCACTGAAGGAGACGAGAGCACGGGGGTAGATATAAGTTATTATATGCAGACATCTAATATAAATGTGGCTCCAAAAACATGAGAGACCAACACACACACACACACACACACACACACACACACACACACGTACACACAGGAATCAGGATCATGACTCCTAGAAAGCAGCTTTTAAAATGATCTTGGTATGTTTCCTGGGCTAAGTAACACCCCCCAGGACACGCCTCCTATCTTCCCTACCACCGCCCTGATCTCTAAACAAAGCCAGAGAGGAGACCAAGGACAGAGGGAAGGCTGGGCAGGTCAGACGAAGGAGATAGTCTTGCTCTGGGCTTCTCGATTTTTCTCTCTCGGTGTTGGGTCTTGTTCCCCTCACTCTCTGCAACGGCTTCTCTTCTTCCTTTGCCTGCTAAGCCATCTCTTCTAATTTTGTGGGTTTAGCTGCTCCCCTCATGCTCTGGTTCCTCTTCTCTTCTGCCTTGAGCTGGCAGTAGCCCTGCACCTCAAGAGAACATCTGCCTGCCCTGAGGATATTTATACGTCACTCACTTTGTCCCAGACTGGCTATAGAAACAGATGCTGGCAGAAAAGTCTGGCATAAAACCTCTCTCTCCTTTTCATCCCCAGACAAAATAAGAAACCACCCGCTTCATAAAAGCAATGTAGACTTTAATTCAGGTTGACAGGTGGGACGAGAACTAGGATTTGCCTCCAAGGGTGTCCAGATGAGAGGACTATCTTGCAGGGAGGGGCAAGGAGGGCAAGGAAGTACGGGTGGCCTGGTGGCAGAACAGGGCCAGGAACAGGGGTGAAGCCACACAGTGCAGTATTGCCAGGGCCTCTGCCAGCTGCAGGAGCAGATCCAGAGCCTGCTGGGCCAGGCATGTTGACAGCAGCAGGAGCTTGAACCTCACTAGGGAGTCCAGTCCCAGAAGCACTCCATGAGGCCACCAGAAAATGAACCAGGAGCACAGGATATCCACCCAGGGGCCTGGCCCCCTCCCCAGTGTCTTCTTCAGCCCCTTGGCTCCCAGCAAACCTAGTGGCAACAAGACAAAGATGGCAAGACAGGCTGCAGCATGTGTGAACTGCAAAGCCTGCTGGTCCCTGTTGTACATGGGGGTGCAGAGTCCACCAGAAGTGCCGCTGGCCAGGGTGACCGGCAATGCCAGGAGGGTAGCCACCCCCCAGAGTCCCACTGTGAGCCCCAGAGTAAGACTTGGGTTCTGGCCTGCAGCCAGCTTGGGTCCCAGGCAGGCGCGGCCCGCTATCAGCAGGGCCTGGGCGAAGGCTGAGCCGTACCACACACAGTAGCCCAGGTTGCACAGGACGGAGCTGGGGGTGCTACCCAGCCCTGGAGCTAGGATGGGTACCACGATGCTGAAGAGGGCACTGCCCACAACCAGCTGTGCCAGGACAGGCCGGCCAGGGCACAGCTGCCAGTGGAAGAGAGGCCTGAGGAGAGCAAAGAGGACAGCGCCACTTGCCAGGATGCCCAGGACACTGGCAAGGAGGAAGAAGGGCAGCGAGGAGCTGTCGAGCAGGCTACAGGAGTGGCAAGGGGCAGCTGCTTTCACGCTGGTGTCATAGTCAAGAGTTGCATAGAAGTCATCCTCAGTATTGGAGTAATTCCAAAAGTAGTCCTCCAAGACCAGCTGACTTGAGTGGTTTTGAATGGAGCGGGAGGGTTCCACCTGGAGGGCATACCCAAGGGTGCGGTCAGAACATCTCCTTACCCCACTGGAGAGTCTCCCTGCACTGAGGGAAGGTGAGAAGGGAGGACAGCTGGGAAGCTGGGGTCAGGAGGACAAGGTTGCTGCGGGAGTTGGATGCAGTGGGGACAGCAGAAGGGGAACAAAGAGGGAGACTGGAGAGGCTGTGTGGGAACAAAGAGGTGTGGAAAAACCAAGGAAGGGCTGACAGCTGGGGCTGGAGGAGCAGGGGAAGGTCAGAGGGGAGGGTAACCAGGGACTGGCCTGACTGAAAGACCAACCAGAAGGGAGGCCTAAGGAGGAGAGAAAGAACAAAACATTAAAGGGAGAACAAGGAGGAAAGGGGTAGGAGATGAGAAAAGGGAAGCAATGCAAAGGCCTAAGGAGTGGACAGACAGGGGAGTGGGGGCCCAGGGCCAGGGGACCGGGGACTCAGCCCCACACTCACCCGGTGCAGACAGTTCCCCATGGTGCTGCTGGGCTCCTGGCCGGCAGAGAGAAGGGCTGGGACGGCTCTGTCAGTGCCTGTGCTTCTGAGATAAGAGTCGAGGGCTAATGAGGACCATCAGATCCCGGGCAGGGCCAAGGGGGCATCAGGAAGCCTCACCCCACGCCCACTGCCTGCCCTAGCCTCAGGCCTACGTGGGGCACCAGCCCTGGGGCTTCCTGTTTTGAGGTTGGATTTGACTGACCAGGAAAGGAAAAAGGTGGAGGACCAGAAAGTGGGTATTTTCCCAAAGTGGAAAGGGAGGCAGAGAAGTCAGGGGCCTTTCCAGCAAGTAGAGAGTCTTCAAGCACAAGGAAGGAAGAGGGAGCAGGGGTGACTTGTGGGGCAGACATAAGAGAGGTGCTGGGAAGTCGGAGGGGAAGGGCAGATGATTCTCAATGCTCCTCCATTGCCTTGAACTTGATCCAAGAAAGGCAGTTCAAAAGTCATGTGTGTGTGAGAAGGGGTGTTGGCGGTGCCTGTGGTCAGATCCGCCCAACCTGGGGGTGTGCATGGGCTTTTCGTACCAGGCGGGACATAAGAACATACCTATTGATATGTGTGTGTGTGTGTGTGTGTGTGTGTGTGTGTGTGTATGTATGTGTGTGCTGTGTATCAGTGTGCACATATCTGTGTGTCAGGAGCTAGGCAGGTGTCTGGGTATGTGTGTGTGTCACTTTCTCTAGGTCTGGTGTTTCAGTGTGAGAGGAGGGGTACTGGGTGACTGTCTAGGTTGCATAATGCAGCAACTTAAGTGAATGACTGGGCATTTGCCTGGCCACCTATGGGCAGCAGTGAATGCATCCTGCACATGAAGCAGAACACATGGTCTGACAAGTTTAAGTAGGCTCTGAGGGGCAAGGGGACAGCACATTTTTAAAAGAGACTGTTACCCATGGGGTAATCTCTATTCATACATCTGTTGGGGAACATAAAGTCTCTGAAATGGCTTCATTGGCCAGGCATCTTAGTACTATGCAAAATTTCTTAGGGGGCAGAGAAGGCCGGCAGGGAGGAAGCCTATCTACCCTGCAGGCAGATTCTCCTAAGCCCATGGCTGTCCTCCTTGGTGGCCCCTTCCTCCCACCCCCTGTAACTGCTTTCCCAGAATCTCTGCTGTTTCATCACCCCTCTCTGCATTTTTCTTAAGCTGGGGAGACATAGCCTAGACTTTTGGAAGGATGAACCATGGAGTGCCCAAGTCACAACAATGAGAGGGTTGGTGAGGGACATGGTGTCATTAGTCCAATAAAGCATGGAATATTTTAGTCCCAGTTCTGTCAAGGACCTTCTGTCTCATTAAGCACCTTGGACGCCAGGATGAAGGGATGGATCCCATTTAGAGATTTCCCCCTTTGCTCCCAGGACTCTAACTTAAGCTTTGGGCTCAACAGGAGGAGGGCTAGAAAGTGAGTTTGGCATCTGGTGAAGCTCTCCTGGGTGGGGTTGACATTTTTCTCACTGTTCTCCAGAACTGTGTCTGGCAAGAGGGCTGGGGGAGCAGCCAGAAGCCCCACCCCAAACACTCTCTGGAAAGTCAGGGCCCAGCAAGAGGGGATGGACACACTTTTCTCCGTGGGAGAGTCATGTAGTTTCCACACAGAGGTGTCTCGGGAGAGTGGCCTGGAAGGAGACACACGCCCCCTTGAGGCGCCAGGTGCAAGGTGCAAGGGACACCAGAACAGCCCCCGTGCATCCTGGTAGCAGTGAGAGCAGCAGAAAGGAGGCAGCCGAACGACACACGGATAATCCAGATATATTGAGGGTGGCCCCTCTGAGATTAGCACAGGAGAGTTAGAAAGATTATAAAGATACACGATCCCCTCCCTATTCCCGTCCCCACCCCCCATCCCGGACAGACACACACAGCACAACGGCCCCTCTCCCTCCCGCCCCCCCGTACAAATATGGCTTCTGTGTAATATGGACAGAGTGGTTCAGCTCAAAGAGGAAAAGTCATTTTCCCAAAAGCGGGTGCTGGGAGACAAGGAGACCGACAGGCCTGGGGCCCCGGGGTTCCCTTGCTGCTGCTCTAAGAGGAGGGGTCCCTGGCTCAGGTGAGGGGCTGCCTGTGGTGCCGAGGGCCCTAACCAGCGCTGGGAGATTCACAACAAATATTACCTGAACTGAGGGGGGTGGGCAGACCTGCCGGAGGGCGGCTGCCCCGTTTTTTGGACGCCCATCGTCAGAGCGGGGAGGACAAGCTGGCGGAGAGTGAAAGTGATGCCAAGGGCACCCCGGGTCTGAGACGAGGCAGTCTGGCCAGGACAGGGAGGGCCAGTAACCTCATCTCCACGGAAACCAGCTAGGGGCCACGAGAAGGAAGACAGGAAACAAAAGCAGGGGTGGGGACTCAGCCCTCAACTCATGGGTACAGACTATGGGAGAGAGAAGCGGTGGCAGGTCACTCCAGGGTCAGCGCCAGGGAGAGGCCTGAGGGGTGCATAGCAAAGGCTGTGGCACTGACTCGGTGGCTTGGAGGAGGGAAGTCCAGGGAGGGGCTGACTGCTGTGTCCCAGGGAGAGATGGGGTGAACAGCTGGGCAAACACACACCCTGGGACTCCTTTCTCCAAGACTGATGGGCTTTGGGGGTGGTATAGACAATGCCAGGATGAGGAACAGGTCCCAGCTAGGTCCCCTCCCAAAGTCTCATTCACGCATCCCACAACCTGGTCCACCTGCCCAGGACCCCGGCCCCTGGCCCTCCTCAACCTCTCTCTCTGCTCTCATTCTCACACCCATACACGCCCATGCACACACGCACAAGCACACACATATGCACGCACACGCACACAGAGTTCACATGATTCCCTTCGTTTGGGCAGGAAACAGCTCAGTGCAGTGAAGCTCCTTTTAGTATTTTCGTTGTTATGTCTGCCTGGCTGCTGGGAGGGAAGGACTGAGAGCTGGCGGCGGCATCCGGACCGGCAAGGGGGCATGGGGCAGCCAAGGTGGGAGGAGTAGTTGCTGAGCAATGCCATGGGAGGGGTGGTTGCCGTGCAACAGTCCAGGGTCTTGGGTAGAAGTCCGGGGCCGGCAGCAGGGGCAGCAGAAGCAGGTCAGGCCCCAGAGCAGTGCCTCTCCCACGGCTGCTGGAGCAAGGGCGAGCGGCCGTGCTCTGCTATCCCCCAAGGGCAGCTCCTGTGGAAAGGGCCTGGCTTCACTCATTTGGGGGGTAATGGGGGGCGGATAGTCCACCTCTGCCATCCTGCCTCCCCCAATCTGCCCTTCCTTGCAGGGACCTGCGTCCTCCCCAGGTTGAAGCCCTGGGTCCCGGCGTGGCTGCATGTCTTCTGCAGGTCACGTCTCCTCGGGGACTCCCTCATTCATCCCTTTTTCTTTGCCATGGAAGAGGGCTGTCTGGGTGGCACCTGCTTCCTGTTCATAGCTCTGGGTATGTGGTGAGCAGAGGAAAAGCCACCCCCACCTCTTGCTCACCACCCTCTCGTTCCTGGGGTCCCGGAGAAGTCTGGGAAGCTGCTCTGTTGCAGAGGGAGGGCTGGGAGAGCCCCAACCTCCAAACCAGCACTGCTTCTCACCCCTCCACCTTCACTCTCCTCCTAACACTCCAGTTTTTTTGTTTGTTTTTGTTTTTTGCTTTTCTCACCCTAGGCCCCCCGCCTCTCCAGCCTGGAGACAGATTTGATTTGGGATTGTTACAAAAATAATAATAACCCAAACGCAGAGAAGCCACGGAAAGGGCTGAGGGCAACCCTCCCCTCCCCCCCGCCCTCCTCCCGCCCCATTCCAAACCGAGTACAAAACCGCACCCAAAGCAGACATTCTGTACAGGGGGGTGGGTGGGCTGGGGAGCAAGCGGGAGGGGCGGCCCTGGGGTCGCTCTATACAAGTCCGGGTTGGTGACGGCCCCAGCAGTCCCCACGGGGCCCCTGGGGGGCGCAGGAGGTGGGCGGGCGCCCCTAGATGAAATATTCCTTCTTGTCATCCCCGCCCGACTGCCCGCCTTCTGCGTTGATGATGGCCGTGTCCGCGTCTGGGGCGTCGTCGGAGCCCTTGGCCTCATGTGTCAGGTAGGTTCCTGTGTAGAGACAGAGGCTCCTCCTCTCAGGAGCGGCTTCCAGACCTCTGAGGTCCACCCGGCCCACCTCCCCTTCCACCCACTCACACGATGCTCATGCTCACACGTTTTCCTCTTGCCTGGCGTTCTCTTCCTCCCCACTTTCTTTAATTTGCATTTTGCTGCCAATCTCCCTCACCTGACCACACCCGCCATAAATAATGAATCCATCCCCTAAGTAGAAGCTCATCTATATTACAGGCAAACAAAAAGAGGCGTGTGTGTGTGTGTGTGTGTGTGTGTGTGTGTGTGTGTGTGTTAACGTGTGCGTACACCCAGGTTGGGGATGGGAAACTGCTACGTCAGCTTAGTGAACTTTGCAGTGGAGACCTGGCTCACGTATGACCAGCCTGTGGAGTGAGGCTGCTGGCTAGAAGTCACAGCAGAGGCTTGGGCGGTGGCTCAAGCCTGTAATCCCAACACTTTGGGAATTGCCTGAGCACATGGGTTAGAGACCAGCCTGGGCAACTCGATGAGACCTCATCTCTACAATAAATCAAAAAATTAGTCGGGCGTGGTGGCACATGCATATAGTTTCAGCTACTTGGAAGACTGAGGCGGAAGGATCGCAGGGACCCAGCGGATCGACACTGGGGTAGCCGTGAGCCACTGCACTCCAGCTTAAGTGACAGAATGAGAATCGAACTCACAAAAAAAAAAAAAAAAAAAAGAAGCCATAGCAGAGCAGAAGCCTGAGAGGAAGGAGTGTAAGAGAGACCATGAACATAGGAGGGAGGCTAAAAAAAATGGTAGGGAGAGAAAAGAAAAGAAAAAAGCAGCCATGGTGCTGGACAAGGAGCAAGGAGATCTAAGGAGAAGGAAAACCAGGTGATGCAGATAGAAAGGAAGAAAGAGGAGGGAGACAGTTTCAGGAACTCTCCCGCTATCTTGCAGCGGGAGGCTTGGAGGTAGAGCAGCCTGGGAGCAGTCATTGCCTGAATGAGAAGGTTTGATTTCACTTGGACGATCCCCAAGTGATCAGGCTTGACTGCCGGGTTGGTGGTGCTGTTATCACAGGGCTGGCAAGGATGGGGTTGGCTGCACTTTTTCTTTCTCAAACACTCCAAAGGCCTGGCGGAGTCTCTGAAGTCCCCTCCCGCAGCCTTCTCCTCCCACTAGCCCGGGATTGACCTCGCTGCCCCTCCCCAGTGCCGCTGGTGCTTCCCTAGGGCCCCTGACCTTTGTGTCGGATCAAGTAGTGACCCAGGAAGATAAGCAGGATCAGCAGCAGGAAGACGATGAAAGCCACGATCCCGCCGATGATGGCGTGGTAGGTACTGGAGGAGGAGGGCACCGGGCTGGGGTCTGGAGGGAGGGACAGTGCATACAGTCAGATCTGGGGAGGTCCCCTTACAGCAGCCTAGCCTGACCATGGGGAGTCTTACACTGCAGAAAACAGGCACTAGTGTCAGGGGAAGGGAGCCGCACCATTCAGCAGAGGGAACGTGCCTTATTTTGTACTTTGGCTTCTTACTATGCCTAGAACATAGTATTTATTAAGAAAAATTGATGGATCCATGAATAAATAAATAAATCTGCTCACACCCAACCATCTAAGTTGAGTTCTTGGCACTGAAGCTGGACCTTGGTCAAAGGTCATTGCTTTAATTCCTATCTCCTTTCTCCCTCCCAACCTTCTTCCTTCCCTCCATTCCACCTCTTCTCCCTCCCTTCCTCCCTCCATCTCTTCTTTCCTTCCTTTCCTCCTACCTTCCTCTCTTTCTTCTTACCTTCTGGGTTGTCAGAAGTTTCTTATGCCCCATGCCCCCGTACCCTCCTGTCTGCTTGATCTTCTTAGCTGGCTACTTTAGCCCTAGAGACCCTCTCTGCCTATTCACCCACTGCCCTGAGATCAGATAGACAAGAAGCAGTGAAAAGCTGATGAAGCCAGGCTTGGTGGCTCAGCCTGTAATCCCACGTCTTCGGGAGGCTGAGGTGAGTGGATTGACTGAGCCCGCGGGTTCGAGACCCGCCTGGGCAGCGAGACCTCATCTTTACAATAAATCAAAAAATCAGCCGGGCGTGGTAGCGCATGCCTGTAATTCTGGTTACTCGGAAGGCTGAGGCGGAAGGATGGCCAGAGCCCAGCAGGTCGAGGCTGTGGTGGCCGGGAGCGGCCACTGCACTCCAGTCTGGGCGACAGAGTGAGACTCCAACTCAAAAAAAAAAAAAACAAAAAAATGAAAAGCTGATGGAGCCAAGAATTAAACACCTTACAAAAGATGGTAGACAATGACCCCTGTATAAGAACATTGTTCCTTCATGACAGGGGAGGTCAGTGTTTCAGTAAAACTCCGATCCTGCAACCAGTCTCAACAAGGAGGTCTGGGACTCTATCTTAACTTTGCTACCATCCAAAGGTTGTGAGAAGGACCAAGTTGCTTTCTCTCGTGATAGTGGCTGCCTCTACCCCTGGACAATCAGAATCTGTCCTCCACAGCAATATGTACACAGCCTTACTTTCCACAGCACAGACTGGGCCCAGTGTGGCAAGAATAGCACCAGCCATGTTCAGAGTCCCAAATATCTGAGGACAAGTACACAGGCCCAGGACACGGCTCTGATGTATCCAACATTACATTAGCCGTAGGTATAACTCTAACACCCGTGGGAGAGTTACTGTTTTTCCATAGACTCAGCTTGAGTCTTGATGCCTCATTGACTTCTTATATATTTTGTCTTTCCTACCTTATGTCTTCTCAGGCTTGACTGGGCCAGCTTTTTAGTTCCTTGCCTGTCTTCGCCTTATTTGAAAAGAAAACATTTGTGCTCTTGCTTTTTATGCTCCGCTTGGGAGGGAGGGAGAGGATGGGCCCAGGGACTCTACAGTCTGAGTGGGATGGATATGACGGGACAGCTTGGAGGAAGCCAAGTGAGTGTACCCACAGCCCCACTCCCAGGGAGTATGCGAGACCTAGTCCACATTAAAAATCAGTCCTAGATAATTATTGCACAGATTGTGGAATGGACGCTGCTTAGGAGAACACAGGTTAACACGACCAAAATGACCTCTGGGTCATTAGTTAGAGGTCCCTGTGTCTAGGTTGGACTACATTTAATTTCATTTCCAGCAAGCCCACCCAGCCTCTTCCGGGAAGAAGATGCATTTGCTCCTTCCACCACCAGGCGTCAGCACTGGAAGCAGATATGGTCCAACAGGACTCCTAGGCTTGACTTTTCAGCACAGGGCAGAGGAGAGATCAGCAAGATCCAAGCCACAAGGGCACAAGAACTTTCGCTCTCTGCCAAACACCGTCAGGGTCGGTCTAGAAAGATCTGGGGGCAGAGTCTGGACCTCAGTGCATTGTCCTTGCTCTTGGCATCTTACAATAGCTTTGCTGTGCTGAGGCAGCTCCCACATGCTGAGGTCTGCCCCTGGAGTGGGAATCACCCATCCAGACATTCTGGTCCCAAGAACTCAGGCCTTTTATCCTGGGCAGGCCTGGTTCTTGTACCCCCCCACCTGCTTTAATGGGTGTTTCAAGTAAGGGAGCCTCTGACTTTCCCCTGACACCGTGTTTCCCCTCTATGAGAAAAGATTTATAAGACTTTCTGGCAGGGCCCACAGCCACTGGGATCTTCAAAAAATCCACTGCCAACTCTTCATAAAGAGGCCTCTGTGCCAGACTGTCACTTCTCCTTAAATTGGGTTTTGTTGGCACAGCTCTGAGAAGAACTTCCAAGAAGGAACATCACCAGGTCCCTCTAGAAGCTAGGGCATCTGAGAAAAGATTCTGACTAACCCTCGACATAGGGCAAGCTTCTCCCTCTCTTTTGTCCGAACCTAGGATAGAGTGTCCAAGGTCTGCAGAAAAGAAAATGACAGCGGTCACATGCATTCCACACCCAGTCACAGGAGGAGCAACTCTGAGAACAGCATGTTAGAGAGGGAAATGCATCCACGCCGGCACTTGCGAGGTCCTGGGGCCTCTACATACAGCATCATAACCCTCATCATCAGGTGAGTGCAGGGCACGGAGGACGGCATCACCCAGGCCATCACTGCTAAACAAAGGCAGATGAGTGCCCACCCTTCTGGTGGCTTTTAATGACTGCACATTCTGGAGTGGATCTAGGGCCTACATCCCCAGGCCCTCCAGCAGCGAGCTGGTTTTGCTCTTCTCCACTCCCAATCGCCATATACAGATGCTATCAGGACATTGAAGGAAGAGGATGTGGCATGAACAGAAAAGGACGATCCTGGAGAGCGAGACCAAGGAGGACTCACCATTGACATTGAGAGTGTAGTAGGCCTTGTGGCTGCCCATGTTGCTGGTGGCCGTGCAGCCATAGGTGCCACTGTCACTCTTGTTGAGGAAGGGGAAGATCAGAGCGCTCTCCTGGGTCATCTTCAGGGGCGGCACGCTGCCCTCCTTCTCCCATAGGTACTGCTGGGGGCTGTTGAGGCAGACAAGTCAGAAGTGTTCAAGAGAGCATAGGGAGATAACCAGGAGCAGGGGAGTCCAGGACTGCTGGACAAGCTCAAGAAGTTACAGGGCCAGAGACACAGAGCTGCTCAGAGGGGCGGATAGGCTTGTGGGGTTCATTCTAGGGGGAATGCAGGGATTTCCTAATGCATGCTTCGCTGTAACTTGGCTCCTGCGGGAGCCTCAGGGACTGGCCCCTCCCGACTTCTGCTGCTTTGCAGAATAAACAATCTGGATAGACAGAGCCAGGGAAATGGGAGGCTCAGGTCAGATAGTGCAGGGGAGACGGGAAGAGGCTGCTATATGACAATAACAATCTGAGAGCACGGAGGTCTCCTGGAAGCCAGAAACGGGTCTTCTTACGCTGGATTGCCACGCCCCTCACAGTGCAGCAACAGCTTCTGGCCCTCTCGGGGATGTGGAGGGTCTGGCCTAATCATCGCAGTCGGTGTGTCTGTGAAGAAGGAAATGGTTTAAACAAGAAACTCCCCCTACAGCTTAGGAGATCTCACCCCGCTGCACGCTACCGTTTCTACTCCTAAATGTCTCAGGGGTCCAAGAAGCTGCCAACAAGGATCTTTCTTCCTCTTCCCTCTGAGAGCAAAGAGTGCTATTGCTATTGAATGTGTGTGATCCACTTGTATTTCGACCTCATGCGATAGGATTCCGGAAAGTCTGTCCTTGGGGGGCCCTAAGGAATGTCTTCACAGAAAGCTGAGATGGGAAATAAGAGGTGCACCTGTGCCTAGCAGACTGCCTAGCGCAAAGATGGGATCAAATACATATTTTTGACAGAACAAATAAAATGGAACTTGTCACTTATTGAACTCACAACTTCTCAGTCCTCTCTGCTCTGCAAAGGAGCTTGGGACTGGAAGTAACGCTTGAGCACAAAACATTGCTGTGAATGGTCAGTGCAAACATGAAGTGAGAGCTTTGAGACAACGAGAGATGGGGGTCATATTTTGGCTGCAGAAAAGGCACTGACACAATACAGAAGGGCTCTGTGAAGGAAGAATGGCATCTGCCATTGATGCCAAAGGGCTGCTTGGGAGGCTAGGGCCAGATGGCCACTCGGAACAATACCACCAGATGCTGGTTGGGAACCACAGATAAAGAGGCTGAGCTGCCCCTAAGGATAGAGCCTTCCTTAACAGCCAGTTAATGAACGTGTTTCGAGCAAATCAAATGGGACAAAAGAGAACCAGGCCAGGTGAAAGAATGGATGTTCAGGGGCTCCACAGCCATAGAAACCTCTAGCACAGTGCCTGGAGTACAGTATTTGTTGATTGACTGTTGATCACAGTTGGGCCAAAAGGGTCCCTGGAGAGTAACTGCCAGATGGTCTGGCACCTAACAGGAGTCCCTAGGGCTCAGGCAGGGAGGGGCCCTCTTTAGCTCTGGCCAGGGACCAAGGCTCAGGGGAGGAGCCCAAGGCCAGATGCCTCATGCTCAGAACAAATAATTAGAGAAACACTTTATAACAACACAGAGCTTTGAAGTTGACAGAGTTTTTTTTTTTTTTTTTTTTGAGTTGGAGTCGCACTCCATCACCCAGGCTGGAGTGCAGTGGCACACTCATGGCCACCCCAGTGTCAACCTGCTGGGCTCTGGCGATTCTTCCGCCTCATCCCTCCAAGGAGCCAGAACTACAGGTGCATGCTACCATGCCTGGCTAATTTTTTGATTTACTGTAGAGACGAGATCTCACCAAGTTGCCCAGGCAGTTCTCAAACCCATGGGCTCAGACAATCCTCTCATCTTGGCCTCCCAAAGTGCTGGGATTACAGGCTTGAGTCACTGTGCCCAGTCTAGTTCTTTCACATATATTGTTTAATTTATCCTCATGATAACTTAGTGAGGTAAGCAGGAAAAATAGAGAGATTAAATGCTTTGACCAAAGTCATACAGTTACTAATAACTATAGTTATTATTAACTACAGTTCTACACTACAGTGGTCCTGCTGCTGGAATCCAGGTTGTCTGCCTGCAAACTGAGAGTCTGTTAAGTGGGCAATGATGTCACCCCAGACCTACCTTGTGCTAAAGCTGGAGGAATGGCCTAGCAATGGATTGAACAGCAAATGGAGGAGTACTCAGCTAGGGAAAGATCTCGAATAATGACTCCAGAGGGATTGTGCTTTCCTATCACCTATATTTTTTTAAAATCATAGAATGTAAGACTGAGAAGAAGCCTTAGTGATCCTCACATTCATCTCTCTCACTTACCAAATAAGAACTCAAGCTCAGTGAGGTAAAGCAATTTGCTTAACATCACACAGCCAGTAAGTGATGCTCAGACTAGAAACTAAGTCCAGAAACTCCTATTTTGCTGCAGTTATCACTACAATTTATAGTCTGGCTACATTGCACTGACCTAGTTCAGGGGTTAGCAGACGTCGCACCTGGGCCAAATCCTGCCCGTGGCATGTTTTTATAAATAGAGTTTTATTGAAACACAGTCCAATTCATTTGTTTGCATATTGTCTGTGACTGCCTTCCTGCAGCAACAGCAGAGTTAAGTAGCTGAGACAGAGATCACATGACTCTCAAAGCCTAAAATATTCACTCTTGGGCCCTTCACGAAGAGAGCTTACCAGTCCCTGGCAGAGTCCTGCCACTCTTCATCTCGCTTTTTGCCTGTTCACTTATCTGTGCATGTTGCTTCATGCACGGTCACCTGCAATTTCCTGTTCCCCACTCCCCATTGCATACTTCGTCCTTCTTCACCCTCAAGCTCACAACATACATAAAACTTCAATGCGTTGAGAGGTGGATCTGTCAGCTCCCTTTAGAGACTCGTGGTTCACAGAGCACACGATGTTCACTCCGTCATCCTCCCGGGTAACCTGGAACCTCACTGAGCTGCTCACAGTGAAGGTTTTACCATTGGGGTCTTCCTGTATTTCAGTTGGTTCTCCTACAGTACAAAAACAGACAGGTAAACACACACACACACAGACACAGGCATGTACACACACACACATACACACACACGCACACAGAGTGGGTCCTAACATATAGATATTGTGTGAGACCCACTGCAGACATACAGATGGTGAGTCAACCCAGACAAACTTAGAAAATTATGAAACAAATACACACAGGGAGAATATAGGCCCCAACACACATACATACATGAATGTACACAACACTTCTGTCATTCCCCTTTTCTCCTACTATACCATGCCTTACACAGACATGTGCTTCTCTCTTGCTGAGGCAGGAGGTACTCACCATGAAGCTCTTGTTCACCCTTCCTCCAGGTGAGCTGGGCTGCAGGTTTGCTCCCAGAAGACTGACAGTGTAGTGTGGCTGTATCCTTTTCCCGTAATGAAGATTTGTAGCCAGAGATAACGGGCTTCTGTGGAATTCCTGCCATTGATAGGGGATGGCCAGGGTAGAAAGGAGAGGCACCATGAGGTCACATGTCGGCTTTCCCTGTGAAGATGGCCTCTCTAGGATACCTGGGTTCCACTTTGGTTTATGATGAGTAGAAGACAAGAGAAAGCATCCTTCTCTTTGATCTCCTCCCTGAGGAGCTCTGGGAGAAGGTATGGTTGGGGGAAAATCCACCATACTTGAGATATGATACATGACCTGTCACCAGATAAAGCACAAGTGGGCGGCTCAGGGGAGCAAAGAGAAAAGTTGAAACACAGGATGAAGATGAGGATGTGTAAGCAACTGGGTGCTTATCGTGGAAATTTTAATTATACATTGCATGCACACCTCATGCTTCCCTCAGGTAAACTCAGAAGGTGGGTACAATGGACATGATCACCCCTGTTATAAGGTAGGAAATTCAGGCTCAAAGACAGTAGGATGTTTGTCCTAGACCAACCAGTAAGCAGAGCAGAAAGGATTAGAACCCATTTCTTTTTGCATTTTGTCCCATTGCAAAGGAACTTTTCCAAAGTGCTTGGAGCCTTGCCTGGCTCCAGGCTGCTTCAGGGACCCACCTAGAGAGGTTTGTTTTCAAGAAGCATGCTGTGGAGACACTGGGGTTTGGAAGCCTCACCGAGCACAGTGACGAGGGACTTGGCAGTTCTCACAGGCATAGTGAAGATGGAGCAGGTGTACTCGCCCTCGTCTGCCAGGGCCACATTGCTGATGCTGATGCTGAGCTCGTGGGGAGTGGAGCTAACCAGTTGAATCCGATTATCTCGAAGGGCTGGAGAGATTGGGAGAAGTGGGAGCCAGGTTTTTGCTGGCACCTTCCATGTTTATCTTCCAATCCCAGGCCAGCTTTTTGGGGAAAGGGATCTAGTACAGCGGAGTGAGGGAAGAACGACTGCTCCTGAGTTTGAACAGCCTTTAGGTCATCTGGTCATCTTTCTGGGTCTTTAGGCATAGTAGCCTAAGAGATACTCAGAAAAGGAGGTTGGATCTTGTGCGCTTCCTTGTGAGACACCTGGGGCCATGCTGGCATCAGCTGCCTATCAGAGCTCCTTTGTGGTGACATCACTCCAGGACCCTACAAGACTATGCATGTCCTAAATCCTAGCTTGTAATACTGGAACTAGCCAGGAAGTCCATGGCTTGTTGCATCCCTAAGTAGTATACCTCCATGTTTCTCAGACTCTGGACTACAGGGTAGTGTCCCTCTGGCTCTGCAGTCCCCTTCTCCAGCCCATGATTCCCAAGAAGAAAGATAACTCATGGGATACTACCTCTCTTCTCCCCAAAGTAGAGAGTCTGCTGGGCAGGGTTAGACCACTGCAGGGATGAGTCCTCATGATCTTTCACTTGGCACTTGAGCACCACGGTGCCACCAGCCACCACTGTTTCATCAGATGTCCAGGGCTGACTGTCTGCAGGAGTAGAGCAGGTTTAGTTTCCTGAGGAATCCCTAGCCCCACCACCCATTTTAGGACCAAAGTCCACCTTATCTAATTCAGACCATCCAGGGCCCTGATGTCCACAAGGTCTCTGTGTCCACAAGGTTTCATGGAGAAGGAATAGAGGTGGTGGTGGTGAGGGAGGGGAGACAGACCTTATTTTTTCTTGCTTTGAATACAGAGAAAAACAGATAGTCACTTGTTGAATGGTTGCTGAATGAACGGACAGAGCCACAGACACTTGAAAGAATAAAAGTACCCCAAATCTGCACATATCACTCCACATGTGTCTTTTTTCATATGGTTCTACCCTTTATCTTTTGAAAACACACATGCATATTTGTCATTCTATGTTTTGCCTTCCTGCCACCACCTACATCCAAGAACAAGAACAGGAGAAGCAGTTGTGACTAATAATCCCAAAACTAAAATGGGGAAAAGGCCAAACCAGCCCCTGGGTTGTACATTCATCTACACAAGAGGTAGCTGATAAAACTGGAAAACAAACAAAACATAAAGATCGAAACATTTTTACATACTTTTCAATGCTTCTAACAATAGCTTGCCTTTAATTGTCAAGTCCTTTAACATATTCCCTTTGGTAATAGCACTACCCGCCTCCCAACACACAAACCCAAGTCGCCATCCTGATGTCATTTTAAGAAGTGAAGGATTAAGGTTTTCCTGTCAGTTGATGAAAACATGTTTTCTAATCCTTGTCTCCTTAGTCAAGTTAAACAAAACAAAACTAATAAGGCATCTTGTGGACGAGGCATTTTAATCTCAAATGTGCCTTCTTGTCAGGCCTACCTGCGACCCTTCAGACACTGACATTTGCTTTCTCCTCCCAATATTGTTCCATGTGTCCCACAGTATGGGTTTTGATTTCCAGTATTGATTCTCTCATCTTCAGAACTGATTTTCTGTGACTCAGTAGCACTGATCTTCACAGAACAAACCTAAAATAGAAACACCTTCCAGCTCTGATTCTAAAACATCGACAAAATCTGTTCTAAGGCACTAAATTACTTCACCAACATTGTTTATATCTAAACAGGAAACCAGGGAACTTATTTCCTACGTTCCCCTGTTGAGCACTTGAAAACAGTTCTATGCTCCCTTTGGCAACTGCCGTGCACTGTCTGCTATGTCCTTTCTTTCTTGGTCACTGGAAATCTACTTGCAAGAAATATCCCATGGCTGCTCCTGCAGAGCAGAGTCCCTGAGGCGATAAGGCACGTGTGCTGGGGTTGATACCAAGCATGGACTGTTGGAGCTAACTGTTCCCAAACTGGAACTCAAAGCCTGGTGGTTAGTTTCAACGTTTAGAATCATAAAATTTAGGACTGAGGGAGATCTTAGGGATCATGGAATCCAATTCTTTCATTTTACAGATGTTGGAAATGAAGCAATGGAGATGCAATGATTGTCTCAGTGCATTCTACTAAATCAAGTTAGGACTAGAACTCTGTTCTTCTTCTGTCTCTTGATGCAGCGCCTTTTTCACTAGACTGCTTCTCAAGTAATCATCTAAGTTGATAATCAAAACTATGGTTTTGATATTAGTGTGCCAGGGAGTAAGCTGGCTGAGTAAATTTGGAAGTGATATATTCTTAAAATCGCTCAATAAACAGTTGGGGAAACGTTTCCACCAATTTTTGATGAGCCATCCCTTTGTCTCTGGCTCCTTTTGAAGAATTCCACCTTGACCGTGTCCTTCCAGGGCCTCTTCATTCTGATTAATATATTTTTCCTAGAATAATTTTATTTTTGGAAAGAGGTTTAAGGTATTCAGAGGTCTCTGTATTGGAGTGAGGGAAGACGGAGCAGGTGCAAGAGAAGTTGGTGGTGCAGACTAAGAACTAAAATGTCAAATGGAAGAAGGAAGAGTTGTGTGGTGATGAGGGGAGTGAGAATATGTGGCGAAGGCAACATGAGCGGGAGACGACGTGAGGATGAGTGAAGGAACTGAGGGACACTGAGATGAGGGGCCTGGATTCTCACCTTGACTGGCCAGCATGTCAGGGCTGCTCCAGACTGTGGAGCTGATGGCCTCGTCGAGTGGAGCCAGAGTTCCCAGCTCCAAATCCTGCTCCTGCCAGTAGCCTGGGGAGAGAATCTCCATCAAGGATAAGCCCTACATATACACTGCTACAGTTGGGATTTCTGCTTTCACTGTTGGGGGTGTGGGAGAGGCTGGGCTCCCATGGAAGGTAGGTTCACCAGGATACCTAAGAGAAGGTAGGTTTCTCACAAAGGGGAGAATTAGCCAGAACTTGAAAAAGAATGTGACTTCTCTTTGGGGGTAAATTAAAGGAGGATGCTAACTTCTATCAGTCGATCACAGAACGTTAGCGCCAAAGACATCTTAGAGTTCACCCGGCCTAGTTCTCCCATTTCATAGAAGAGGACAATGAAGCCCAGAAAGATTAAAAGTGACTCGGTGAAGGTTACTACAGAAAAATGAAAGATAGTCAAAGAGTTTTATTCCTTATCCAGGACTCCTTCTGCATATTATTCACTAAAATCGCTACATAGTTAATAATTACAATTGTTTTCACATTTAATCCTTTTAATAAACCTGAAAAAGAAGTACAGGTGCTTTATCTTTTCTATTTTGCAGAGTGGAAACAGCATGAAATGACTTGCCCAAAGTCATACAAATAAAAGAAAAAAGACGAGAAATCAAATGAATGATTTCAAATCCAGAGATCTATTCGATTCAAGGTGAGACCGTCACCACTGAAGAAAGAGATCCCGGCTAGGGCGGAGAGTGGCACAGGCCTTCCCAGATGGATACCTTCTTCGGGGCACTCACGTTCTCCACCCTCAGTCCCTCCGTAGCACCGACTCTGCTCCCTCCTCTGGCACCACAAACAGAACCTCCTTCCAAGAAGGTAGCGCCCTCGCCCTTTCGAGCGGCCCTGTGGTGTCGGAGACCTGTTTCCTCAAGCCAACCCGAAGAAGCGGCGGGACAAAGAAACTCGCCCTGCAAGTCTTTTCAGGGTCTCCCGCCGCGGCGCCCCCAGGCAGCCAATCACGTGCGCAAGATCCAGTGAGGTCACGAGCTGCAGAGCGGAGCCCGGAGCAGCTACGCGCCTCGTCCCGGGAGCCCCGGAGCCCTTCGGCCCGTCCTCCCAGCTGGGGAGCGCCAGGTGGGAGAGGGGCGGGCGAACGGGGCGCTGGCACCCAGACCGTGCTTGGGTGGGGGTGGGGGTGGGGGTGGGGGTCAAGACTCCAAAGAGACGCGGGACAAGGAAGCTGGGTTCGCGAAGAAGGGACGGGACGGGAAAGAGAATTGCCTCACCAGAAGGAAAGGGAAGGGGCAGGAAGAGGAGGAGGGGTGAAGGGGGTGCTGGGACCGGGAGAGGGCGCCACGCTTGGATGGGAGTGGAGGTGAGGGTCCAGGGTGGAAAGAGAAGTGGGGCCAGGGAGTGGGATCCTTGAAGAAGGGACGCGACTAGAGAAAGAACTGCCTAATCAGAAGAAAAGGGAAAGGGGGGTTGGGAAAGGGGGGTTGGAAGGGGGCGAGGAGGGCTGGAGAAGTAGGGTTGGGAAGGAGGGGGAGGGAGGGAGAAAGAGGGAGAAAGAGGGAGGGAGGGAGGGAGGAGACAGAGAGAGGAGACAGAGACAGAGGCTGGAGAGAGAGGAGAGGAGAGGGGGGCGGAGAGGGGAGGAGAAGGGAGGGGAGGGAAGGAGGAGAGTCAGCGATCCATGGAGCTCTTTCCCTCTCTACTGTTTCTCACAGACGTGTTCCAGGAGATTTGCGAAATTACTCTGTTCTCAAACAGGAGAAGCACTAATGCTCAAACGTGGAGAGTAAAGCAGAGAAAACAGAAAAATTGCAACAGGTAGAGAAAAGTTGGCAGAAAGTGGGGAAGGCGGAGGGGTTAGTAGAAAGAGGCAAGAAAGATGAGAGTGGGAGAAAGGGGACGAAGGAGGGGGTCAGGCTGTCGCATCCCCCAGAGGCTTCCCTTGGGTGCCTACCCTAGCCCTGCCCTCACCCTGCTGTCTTCTGTGGACATCAAGGATGGAGCCAGTCTGAAGTCGGTGAGTGCTTCTCATTCGTTTCCAGGCTGTGTGTCTGTGGGTGCACGTCATCAACACACAGGAGAAAGCGGAGATGGTTGTGCTCATGCTTGGGGTGGTGGAGGGGCAGGGAGAAGCCAACAAGGGGTCAATACTCAACCCCACAGTACTGGTACTCAGTGCACAAACTGAGCACGAAGTAGGCCTTTGCTCAAAGGAAAGGAGGAAATCACCATCGCGTACCTTGGTACTGGACTTTCAGTTTGCAGAGTGGATTTTCAACCATGAGTTCATTTAATCTCAAGACAACCTCAAGAGATCAGCAGCCAGATAGAATTGCTTTCTGAGAAGAGTTTCAGAGAGGCTCAATGACTTGCCTAAAGGCACACAAATAGCACACCTCTCAAGAGTCCTTTTTCTCTAGCAGAGTTCTCAAAGCTTTTTCAACAGCCTCTGTTTCTTACAGCATTCCGGCGTGATTTACCTGTTTAGTTATCAGTCTCCTCATCCAAACTTTGAGCTGGTTAAGAGCAGGGAGCTTATGTTATTCATCTTTGTATCTTTAGCAGAGTCCATAGTGGGTTCTCAGTACATTTAATTGGCTCTGGTTATTCATTCAGCCACACTTGGCACTGTGCTATGTATATTGTTAATCAGGCTGAGCATGTATTCTGTCCAACAGCATGGGCTGTCTTCACTCTCCTGCTTCTTCTTTCATCTGTGCTTTTTTCTGCATCCTCCTCAGTTGCTTTTTTCTTTGCTCATATATCTTTCATCCCTCCCCTCCTCCTGCATTTAGTAGACATTTTTTTTTCTGCCTAGGATGAATAAGTGAAATAGTGAATGTAGGTCATTCAAACCAAACAAAGTTGTCCAGATGAGGGGACTAATAACTAAACAAACAAGCTCCAATATTTGGGGGCATATTTTGGATGTGTATGATATATTGCATATGCATATATGTGCATATTATTGCCTCTGTAAGTTTACAGAAAACTTACTCTGGTTTGTAGCGTTTTAAGACTCTGTTTAAGAGGTGATTGACTTTTTCTCCCCCAGGGGTGACATTTATCCCTCTGATTTTGAAATGCATTTATGATGCCGTATCGCCTCTTGAGAACTGTCTGTTAATGCCTGAAAGTTTTTTTGCCGTTTTGTAAAGTTGTAAACTTGTATGGTAAATTCTGAATGACCACTCCCCAGGGAGTGGATGAGTGATTATAATGCTATCAACAGAAACAAGGATAAATAGCAGAAATGATAACCTGGACTGTGAAAGGCTTGCACCTTCTTTGGCTTCAGATTGTGGCAATCACTGATGACCTCTGCATGAATTTCCTCAATGAATTCAGACTGGAAAGGAAAACTTAGGAGTGCTCTGAATAGGCGATATGGAATTTGAAGTGGAAATAGTAAAAAAATTCTGCTCAGAGACATTGGAAGGAACTTCTGTCATGTAGGCCAGACACTGAGACCACACAACTGTTAGTGAGGGAAGGACCAGGTTGCTCAGGCAGAATAACAGTGAGGAAAACTTCGTTGTTATTAGTCATATTTTCCCTGCTTTCAAACTGTCACTGACACTCCATTTTCTGCAGATAACAATCAAATGTGTTAGTCTGGCTTCAAGGTCCTATAACGTCTGATGACAACCTGCCTTTCCATTTTGTCTTTTTTCAACTTTACCAACTCCATATTTCACACATGTGATGCTATCTGGAATTCTGTCTGTAAACTCTTTGCTTTCCTACATCTGTTTATTTTCTTACAATAACTGTTGAAAATGCCTTTCACCCACCTTCACACATCTAAACTCTGCCTGTCCTTAAAGCCTACTTTTTGTGGCACCTCCTTCAAGAAGTCTTCCCTGATTGTCCCAAATTGAAATAATTTCCCATTCTCTGAGTTACAGTACTTTATCTGCTTTTCTTAAATTATACATCACCTTCTACTTTGTGCTGAATGTTTGGCTGCCCTCCCAAATTATAAAGATTTCATTGGTAAGGTCTGATTCATTTTGTGTTCAGTACTGGCCCTAGTACAGCATATTGCACACAAAAGGTGCTTAATAAATATTTATTTATTAAATGAATCAGACTCTAAGCATCTTTTACTGTAAGAAGTAGGCTCCAAACCTGCCAGTACAGAGGGAATAGCAAACCAAACAAGATAGGAAGAAATAAGCTAAAGAACCAAAGAAGAGGGTGAGTCCATCCAGAAATTCAGAGGGAATTGATATTTATCAGCATTTTCTGTATGTCAAGATCTAAGTGAGGTGCTATATATTCATTATTCCAGAACAACCTTTTAATAAATAGGTATTATTGTGTAAGTACATGCTAAGGCTGAGTTAAAGACCTTTCTGTATGATGCATCTGATAAGTGTTGGGACGGAATGGACTTTAAACTTAGATCTCTCCGACCACCAAGTCCAGGCTTCCTGCACATCCTTACAATACTGCTTCCCTCTGCAGAAGCGTGTACTTTGTGTGGTGGTGGGGTAGGCAGTAGAGGGAAAAATATTTCTTTTTGCATTGCTGGCCAGGGGAGGTTCACCTAAATAATATTCATAACACTCACTTGGAGTATGATAAAATTAAGTGTAGCAAGTTGGAAATGAGTGCGTGTGGTGGCAGTGCTTCTGTGATTTGTACCCATTGAGTTACGTCTCTAATTGGATTTTTTTTAATGTTCACCTATACTTTTGGGGCTATTTCAGGCACCTCTAAGTGCCTTACAAGGGACTCTTCAGTTAGCCAGAAAACAGGCGTGTCTAGTCAAGAATATCAAAATCCCCTTACGTTTTCATAGCACGTTGGCACCTAGGCTGAAAACTGAAAAATTATCTTCTTGTTTGCCCTCAGTTGCTTTGGGGATTTCTTAATCCTTGGTTTATTTACCCATGGGTTCTGGTATCTTCAGGATTCCCAGCATTATAAAGGACAAAGTAGCCCTTTCACCCACTGATTTCCTTCTGATTGATTGTTCCTATTAAGAGTAGCAGAGTTGGGAATTGGAGACTTACCAACGTGCCTCTTTAAACATGCGTTGGCACCTGTGATTCAGCTTTTCACCCG